ATCAGTTGGATGGATATTCTAAGCACATAGTTACATGTGTGTTGAGTGCTATGAATGTTCCAATCAAGCAGCCAACAGCATATAAAAAAAAAACAAGTTGGATAGACACGCACACAAATCACCAACTCTGGTTACAGCACACACAGTCACAGCCTGATGCTCTGAATAAGTAAAGACATGGTGGCAGAAACATGAGCAAGAGGAACATCTTTGACTGCAGGTCAGCCATTCAGCTGGCCGCAGGGATGGAGCAGATACTGGAAGAAACATTATAGTAGCTCTAACCTCTGTCCTGGCAGAGGCTGCTCTGCAATTCTCAGTCCTGAAAACTCAAAACAGCTTGCAGAACTGAAGCCAAAATGTGTGTCTGCGTGTGTATGCGTCGATGAATTAGTTAGTTATCCTGCTCGAACACACAAACTGTAAGTTTTGAAGGACAAACAACAGAGCAGCTGTTCGTAAGCAACAACTTCTACTACAATGATAACAATGTAGGTATGTGTGCAGCTACCTGTAAGACCAGCGACTGTAGACAGGCTGAGATCCCCCGTTCTTTACTGTGTCCATGGATGCGACTGCAGGAATGCTAGTAGTCCAGGGCTCTCCTATCTACAGTATCGCAAAAATATTCATTTACACTGGAGCTCAGAGTTACTGTGCAGTTCTACCCAGCAGTAAGCCCTGCAGGCTCCAAGGTCTCTGCTATTATGTCACTGAGAAAGAGTAGCTATGTCCCACCCAGGGGAGTGACATCTACCAGTGCTAAGGCAGACTAAGGTCGGGAGGCTTGGAGCTGTTACCATGACTTCACACTTCAGGCAATGCACAGAGATTCAGCTAGGAATAGGTATGACAGTGACAGACCTAAATGCTTGTGTATCGCCTTATCAACCTTGACAAAGCATGAATCTTCTATGAACTTCTGCAAAGTTGCTTGAACAGGCCATGAATGAATAGGTTAGCAGCTGCAGCCTGTTTATGTTTGATATGAAGCAACTCTTTCCCAGGAGCTGGAAATATTTCTAAGAATATCAGTTAGACTGGTTGCTATCATCTAAGTTCCTATATTTCACTGCCCAACTACTTTTCAGTAACTTTCTGAGAGACTCAACACTCATTTCCTCTGACTCATAAGATGGGCACTGCATATATCAAACCACAGATGAACATTCTGTCTGGCATCTGACTTATGTATGCAATAGTGGGAATTTATTAAGCTTAAAATAGCCTGAATCGTTTTTTTTTTAAATTACTATAATTAACTGTCAGCATATGACTAAGATATTACAGTCTATGTTCCCTATGATAAAAGTGCTGTTTTATAAAAGTAATTCAATAAACTGAAACCTATAGATTACCCTGTCTAAAAACAGACACGGTGTGGAGAACTTAATCTAGTTGCTAGGAGACCAGAGGCTCCCAATCGTTTTTCTGTGCCTATTTGCAAGAGCGACAGAACCAAAGCACAGGGAAAATGAGGGGTATGTTTGTGTATGTTTGCCCTGAGAGACGGCGGTAAAATGGCATATAAGTCAATGGATGATAAGCAGGGGAATCATTCACCAGAGGGAGTAATTATTGAGCTCAAAACAAATGATGGAAATAAGCTACAAGAGTTTATAATGATACTATTTCCCTCTGGGACTCCAAGGGAAACACTCCACTCGTGACTCTCCTACAATGATGCTTCATTTTGTTTAGGTAGCTTTAAAGAAATGTTCTCTGCAGTGACCATGCCAAATGCAAAATCTATTAGTAAACATTACGCTAAAAATACTGATTCATCATGAACATACAGCAGAAACTATACCATTAATAAAATGTATGTAATGCTGTATCATTCAAAAAGTGGAAAGTACGTCCATAGCAAATACCAGAAATGTTTTTTCAGTCTATCAGTGCATGAGCAGCAGTGTATTACCCAGGCCAGCTGGGCCATGTGTTTGGAATCTGCTGGACAACCACAGTAAATCACCACTCAACCACAAGTCATGCTTGTAGCTGCAAAGGTCAACCGCTATCCTTGTGGAGAATTTTTTTTAATTGATTGATTTATAACGGTGGTGTTACACTGTTCAGATAAGCTGACATGTTGATTTCAATATCATACCATTTTCATTTTGGGGGATAGACACATTATACATGTAGTAGGTCCAGCCAAACCCTGGTTGGTGAACTACATGTTCCAACTGTGCTCACAAACCCTGTAAACCACTGATAAATATTCAGCTAAAAAGCAGCTGAGTTCTTGTGGCAATGGTGAAGCTCATTAGTGATCTTTGTGACCTTGTTCAATAACATACTCCTCAAAGACTGTACACTCCACAGGATATTCTGGACAGTAACGATGGATGCTTTTGTGATTGTGACTGTGATGCTGATGGTGATACTGTACTGCGTAGCTGCTTTTCCAAGAATCATAGCAAAGGCTTCAGTATTATATTGACCTGGAAAACTGTAAGTTATCATTCCCTTTCGGCTAATAATTCCAGGCTGACACTGGAGTTGTTTACATGCCATTTAAGTATAGATGTCCTATTTCTCATTTATGTATCAGTCTACCCAATAACCCTGGCAATGTTAGCACAGTGCAACAAAGGACAGGGAACTTCATAAGCCTCCCACTTTGAACACCACACACACACACACACACACACACACACACACACACACACACACACACAGTTTTTGCAACATTACACACTTGTGATACCGTCACGAAAACTGTCACTCCTCAGATGTGTCATCTCTGCAAGCAGAGTCTGAGATTTGCAATGGCTTCACTCTGCCAAGTGATCCAAAAGAAAAAATGCAGTGACATACTGCGACAAGGAATAATAATAATAATACTAATAGTAATGAATTCATTTGTGAGAGATGAATAAAAATGCAATTAGAAGAAGAGAAAAGCCTCTTATTCAGCTGTCTTTCAGGGTTGATCATTACAAGTGCTGAGTCAGACATCTGTGAACTTTAACACAAACTGTGTGCATCACAGCTGGTGTGCTGATCAGGAATGAGTCCATTGCTGCGTCTCACATTACTAAACTTCCAAAGTTACAAGGCCAAGAGCTTTCCTTGTGTAAAATCACAGTGCTTGTTAGACATCTGGAGATAACATAAACAGGGTGGAAGCTAGGCAAAGTCATTTTCTATCCCATGAACTAACCAACACTGACAGGCACCACTCACTATGGATTTATGTCACACAAAGACAATTTAACAAGTATATTCCTGGATAAAGCAAAGAATATACTTATTTGTAGAGCAATAATAACATCATTGTTACTGTAATAAACATTATCTAACATTATGAGTCTGTGTGTTGAATGACAGCCCTTGCCTACAAACTGATAAAATCAAATAATCACAATGTGACTGTAACAGAAAGGGTGGGAGCTACTTTGATTTTTATCTTTCCGCAAAATGAAAGCAGACCTCTGCTCGGTGAGGATGTCGAAGGACTATGGTGCAATATGCTGTGGCAAATTCTGTGTGTTGAGTGTGGCTACCATGCTTTTGCTACATGTTTACATTTGATCCCTACAGTTACTTTCAAATGAAAGAAAAAAAATACATGTTTTACATTTACTTTGTTTCTCATCTGGTGGTGAGGACAAACACTGCCTTACAGGAATGTTTTGACACAGGACAGAGGCTAGAGAAAAGCATGCTCAAACATGACATGCAAGGGTTTTTTTTGGGGGGGGGGGGGTTCCTCTCAAGCTTCTCACTCACTGTATTCAAAGCCAAGCTTAGTCACAGCTTTGAAGAGACTGAGTGCCTGACTGCCGAGTATTTGACACATTATTTAAAAGAGCCTTTTGGATCTGTGGCCTCATCCTCGTCCTACATTTAAATTCTACATATTTAGGACGGTCGAATGTAACTTTACCTAAACCGTATCCATGGACATACCTCAGGAAATTGTTCGTGATGCATTCATTTGTAACAAAAAGACTTTCTCGAAGTTAAATACACAAAGAATAAACACAGAATAACTGACTGCTAGGTATGAATGTAACTGAAGCATCGTTTCTACGGAATTAGGTACGATGAGGTTGAAGTTCGTTTCCAAATCGAGCTCCACTCGAACAGGATTGAGGATATATACAATAATCAGAGAGCAAGGCTAAACAATTATTAAGAACGTTAGCCACTTATGGTTAAAGATGAATGTTTTTCTTTTCTATTGTGCGGCTACAACGTTCAGTAATTTCGGAAGCAATATTTTGCTGTAGTATCACGACTACTGGCTCGCTCACTGAGCTCGGCGTTTAACGAGTAACACTAATCGTCAAATGAGAAAATCAGACACGGTTACTGTCATTTGTTTTTATCTGCCAGCTGTGGAATGTTATAGCTAGCTTATTGCCGTTAGAAGCTAACGTTAGCTGCCTCAGCCCAGCCTCTGCTGTGAGTAATGGTGCCTTTATAAAAGTTGTGGGCGACAGTTTAAGTTTTTCGGGGAAAAGAAAACGGTAGCCACACTGGTTAGCTTCGCATTCCACAGTTGGTCAACCAGAACAAATACAAACACAACGTAAAAGCAATGTATCTTTTATTTTACCTTATGCTGTAGTAACTCATGTTTGTCCACGGTTGCTAAGGAAGATCCTCGTGCGGCAGTACACTTTTTGTGGACGCGGCTGAGAACTGTTACTCGGTCCTTAGTTACCGAACACATCAAGAACCAACGCTGCTATTGGTCCGCCATTTAGTTAGATGGAAGTTGACTGGAGGATGTTCCAAAGTAGGGTGGAGAGTGGACCTCGCTGAGGAGCGCTCTTCATATTTTTCCTTTTACCTCAAACGCATGAAAAGCAAACCAATTGTCACAGAAAATATAAACATAAAAGGGTTTGGTCAGCTATAGTGACCCCATCAAGACATAACGTAAGGTTTGTATTGTACTATACAATGACATCTGTAAAATGAAAATATGTTGTCATTTTTGAAGGCATGAAACATTTTTTGCTGGAATATTTTATTAAGCAGTGTATATTGTTATTGTGTTTAGTTTTTACTTACTAGAAATAATGGCTGCCTCCTGATTATTTAGTTTTCTCTTTGCACGTATATATTTATTCAACATCTCTTTTGCAAAATACAAGATATGTCTAAGTAACACAGTATTGCTCACAATCACCAAAAACAGTGTTCAAATGATCCTTCTGCAGCACCCTTGGTTTTTATTAAACAAGCATAATATTTCATGTCAGTGATAAAATTATATATAGAGTTAGCTTGATTTTGGGAATGTGATATCATTTACAGCCCAGGAAGACAAATGCTTTCCCCATATATCATTACTTAATTTCAGAGGCATAAAAATAGCAAGGAATAGGCTTGTATTGCTAGATAGGCCAGGTTTGGATTTGAATAAAAGGATTGCATCTGATTTCCAACATATTCTGTAAGAGCACAGTATAACTGTTATCCATCTAAACATATTCTCACTTATGAAAAAAAGGCTTGCCTCTTGGACATTGCTGCAATCAAACAGCAATTTTGATTTATTTAGTATTTGATTTGATCCAAACTACCAGGGCTGTGCAGATAAAGTGAGTGAGTCATTTCATTACATCCTTGACTTATCATTAGGAGGTTCATTCAAACTAAAAATAAATAAACAGCTACTGAACTGAAATGTGATGAATCATTTTAGAATGCCGAAGCTCCATGCAATTAAAAAAAAAATAGTTCATATGAAGAATTCTGATTACAGAAATGATCTAATACTTAATAAGTGTTTCTTCTGTCTGCATCGTTTGTCTAATCAACTTTTCACCAAACCTCAACATCAACTCTGAATTAACACATCTGAATCAGAGAGATGGCCCCTGTCTTTTAACAGCAACATCAGTCCCATTCTCCTCCTCCATGTCACCTTCAACCCATAATCCCTCTCTGGTGTGTCAGCCACTAAAATGTCAGGTGGCTGATTACATGGTGGTGTACATGGCTCAGCGAGTAGCAGGTGCATAATGGGGGAGGGGACACAACTACTCCCTTCTTGTATAACTTTTGGAGTGTCCACATCAGGTGGTGGGCCAACACTGCTGAACTCAGAGGGCCTGAATTCACTGGAGGCAGGTGTTGAAGCACTGTCTGCTGGAAGTCTGCATCTCTTCCCCTGAAGAGAGCAAGTTTTAGGTTGATCCAAACATCTGCTGGAGGATGTAGCACCATCAGAAAATCTCTCCACACTCCTTCTTCTGATTGAGGTTGACTGTCTCTTTGGTGTGTCTAAGTACTGTGCACTTGAAACTGTCTTTTTGATTTGGCATGATCCCCGTGGTTGATTTCCTGCATGAGACACAACAGTAGACTCTGCAGCCTTCTTTGTGCGTTTACCCTTTGGTTGATGAGACTGGTCTCTTGACCTTGTCTGAAACGATAATGAGGGGAATTTGCACACACTGTTTTTCCTGGACAGCTGACTGCAACCGTCAAGGATGCTTGTGGCAGACTGGCATTTTCTCCTCCCTCGTCTCAATGGAGGTGCAGCTACAACTGAACTGTCAAATTGTGGGCTTACCTGAAAAGATTAAAAGTAGAGCAAATAAACAGTGGAATAAAATTTGAGTCATAAGAATTATTATGTTTAATTATGCATTAATTGTACAGTAAGTTTGGGTAAATCAGCAAACCCTTTCAGCTAGAACTGATTCAGTGACATGTTAAAGGTCTCTTCAGCAATTAATGACATTGATTTAAACCACAGAGCTATGCCCCATCTTCAAAATGAATGAACAACTTACCCAGGAACAGAGAGCTGGGCTGTTGTGTGCTTGTGTCTCTGTGAAAAATTCTTTGGGGTTGAGTGCTGCTCTGACTTCGGGCACATTTTGGAGTCTGGCTCCACACAAAGGCCGCTCCACAAATAGCAGGGGAGACTTCTCTATCTTTGTGGCTTTACGGGGCATTAATATAAATCATTACCAAACACCTAGGGGAATAAAAACACCATTAAATCTGTAAAAAATGTCTCATTAAAATTATCGATTTTTTCTGTTCCCAGACCGACACTATTGTTTTCGTCCATAACCAGATGTATACCTTTGAGCGTTACGTTTTCATTCATAGCAACTAGCCCGGTATTATACTTACCTTGATGTGGATCTTTGCATAAGACATGGTCATCGTTACATGCTATTAATATATGAATATGTAAAAAGTTTGTTATTCCATTGTCGTTATCTACTCTGAATTTTCTGTCTTCCGGCTTATTTCCCGGTTTCCACCATTGTCGTCTCTGATTGGTTCCATCGTATTCTCTTTGTCTAGCTGCTATTGGTGCAATTTCATACCTCGTGATCGAATTGACGGGGGCAGTCCCCACAGCGCCAAAATTCAAAAACGTTACTGAATCGACCAGACGGCATGTAAATAACACTAAATGAAAGTAATATTACAGATATCATGCATCCTTTGATTGAACGTCGAATATGAATAGACTCTTTTAAGTACCAGTAGTAGACCAGCCAAGCGGGATTGCCTGAAACATCGCAGTAATGTGAAGGTTTGGCTTTATCTTGATTTGCTGTTTGTCACAATAGCTTTGATGACTAGCCACCTAGCTAACCTAGCTTAGCTTCCAACCACAGTTAGCTAGGAGAAAGTTGTAATGTTAGCGAATTTGCGCTCGCTTATTGCAATAGCGAATCGGTGTTTTCTTCCGGTTTAACGAGAAAAAACAAACGTCTACTGTAGTTTTCCTCCAAATACTTGTAAAACTTTTAGTAGCACGATGCGTGTCATTCTTAGGCGTCAAAGAAATTCCACACTGAACTCCATTTAGGCCATATGATATTGTAAAGTTTTCATTACGTTTTCTTTAATTGAAATCGGAATTTAAACCATTTGAAATGTCTTTATGAACTATTACAAACACGTCTTTAATTCGGCATACCTAACACAAACAATGCAGCGCTTGTTCTAATAGAATTTTATCTCCATTAATCGCACCACCCCTAGTGTGCGGTAGAAAGCAGTATGAATCAGCTGTTCAATTTGAAATATTTTCCAGATAGAAGGCTGTCCAGGGGATAATCGAGGCAACGTTTCTTTATTAGCCAAATGATTTTTATTATATTTGAACAAGTCAGTTATAAATCCACATCAGCTCTGGATGTTTGCCAGAAAATTAGCGGTAAACGTTACAAAAAACACGTTGTCAACCGCAGACACCCAACGACTGTGGTTCTAGAAGGCGTAATCACCAACCGATGTCTGAAAATAGGCTGGCCGCAATCGCAGAGATAAAAAAAAAAAAAAATAGAAATAGAAACACGGAAAATGGAGAGCTGAACTTCATCCTGAGGTGAAGTGACTGACTCGTATTTGATATGAACTGATTTCTTCGTGTCAATCTAAATCGATTAGCGTAAACAGGAGCGGTTTGAATCCAGCCTTAAATTAACAGTTTGACTAGCTTAGCATCGACTTCATCCCTTCTGCCAGGTAAACGTTAATCTACCGGTAATTCCAGTTAGCGCAGTTTGTTCATATCGTACAAACGAGGCACTGATAAACGATAAATATTTCTGGCTTTGGAGCAATCTATGATTTTAAATGTCAACTTTTTGTATTTTCCATTGTGTTGTTTTTGTACAGAATGCCAGTAAAGACCCAGGTGCTTTTCAATGATCTGATGACAATGAGACGGAGCCCAAGGAGACCCCTGATCCTCAAAAGAAGGAAGTTGCCTTTTCAGCAAAATGATCCACCAGCAGCTGAATCGCAAAGCCAGTCTGGTGCATCAGGCTCCCAGGAACCTTCAAAACAAGCTGCAACCCAGTGCTTCCCTGATGGGATCCGCATTATGAATCACCCCTCTATGTCTGACACTCAGGTGGTTGTCATTCCCAAAACCGCAGACCTTCAAAGTGTCATCGGGGCCCTCACTGCCAAAGGCAAAGAGTGTGGTGTCCAGGGGCCAAACAAGTTCATCCTTCTTAGTGAGAATGGTAGCTGCGACAATGGATCCCATTGTCAGACTGCTGCTGAAGGGGATGACATTTCAACAAGGAGTACAGATGGACAACCAGTGAAGGCAGAAACTATCCATAACTCCCCTGATGCTAAACCTCTCACCGGAATTAAACCATGTATGGACATAAGATTTTTTTGTAATTGTTTAGTTGCACCAACTTGGTCAGCTATCTTAAATTCTTCCTTTGTTTAAGCAATAATGTTTTTTTGCTTTTCTCAGTAGTAAATAAGGACCTGGAATGTGGTCCTTTAGACGACAGCCTCACCAATATTCAATGGCTGGGCAGAATGAGCACATGTGCCTTCGAACCAGATCCTACCAAGCAGATGACCAACAAGGAGAACCAAAACTCAATCTCACAGACTTTCCAGGTCAGCTTCTCCTTCTTGTCATCTCACTGTGATTTACAATGACCTTCATAGTATTCAGATCGCAGGTTCATGAGGTTAGGCTTTAATATGAGGATAATTGTTTCCACACATTTAAGATTACCAATAGTAAAGAAAATAGTATCAGCTCAAATGTAAGAAAACTAACATCAGCAAGTTGAAAGTCTTTATGTGAAATACTTTGGTGTAAATTACTGAAATAACATGCAGTGCACTGCTGGGATTAGATGTGTAAAAATGGAAATTGGGAGAAAAATAAAGGAGAGAAATACAAAGCTAAAACATGAATGCATATGTTAAGATCTGTGAAATACTGTTTTAGTCTGAATAAGAAGACTGTTGTAATAGCTTTTGTTGAGTTCATCACCTTTTTGTCACGTTTATAAACGTGACAGAAAGATGAACTCAGTTGTAATCTCTTAGTTTAGATTTTGCCTAAACTGATCACACCAATCTAAAATGTTCTGCACCTCTACATGCACTGTATTTTATGCATCTGTCCTTTTTCCCCCCTCTGTTTTTGTACAGGCACAAAGTACACAAATCGATGGAGAAGCCGTTCAACAACCCATGTCAGAGAGGCCACCATACTCCTACATGGCCATGATCCAGTTTGCTATCAACAGTAGGAAGAATAGGAGGATGACACTGAAAGAGATTTACACGTGGATCGAGGACCACTTTCCCTACTTCAGAGAGGTGGCCAAACCAGGATGGAAGGTACTTTAAAACTGAAAAGTATAATGTATAACTCCTGGGCACATTCTGTGCAGCAGATAGATTAAACCCACTGAGTAACGATCCTTTGGAGTATCACTTACTGAAACATGCATTAAAAGTTGTTTTTTTTTTTTTTTAACTCATTTATTGTTGCAGAATTCGATCCGCCATAACCTCTCTCTACACGACATGTTCATTCGGGAGACGTCACTAGATGGTAAAGTTTCTTTCTGGACCATCCGGCCCGAGGCCAATCGATGCCTCACTCTTGATCAGGTGTACAAGGTGAGCACACCTTTCTCTCTTTTCACAAAAGCCCTAAAGTAAATAGTTTTTTTGTGTGTGTGTGCGTGTATAGTCATCCTTTGTGTTTCAAGGTAAACTTTGAACTTATTTTGGACTTACTTTTTCCAGTATTTATGTTTTGGTTTTTTGTTTTGGTTTTTGGTTTTTTTCCCCCGTCTCACTTCACATCCGTCTCCACAGCCCGGTTGCGACCCAATGACTGCTCCTGTCCCAGTGCCAATGCTTTTATTTCCCAACCAAGTAAGATTGATTTACCCTTCTCTCAGTTCTCTTCATGGTTGCAGACAGGCAGCAGAAAGCAAAGGAGGGACAGAAAAAAATCAGAAGATGTCAGTCGCCTCTTGGACCCAAAGAGTGCAGCTGCAGCTGGTGATCTGAGGTCTAGGGAAATGTTTTTGTTGCAGGAAGAGATGGCATGAGCAGCAGAGACGCTAACGTCACACTGACTGACTAGTCTGCTTTCAGACGACATTCCTTGTCCACCAAGGAACGTGTACACTGATAAATGTATCCGCCATTACTCTATAAAGTAGGGACAGACTTCTAATGTTGACTTTCCTTTGTTCTAACTTGCCATACCTTAAAACAATGCAAGAGAACAAGGCTTACCTTGTGCTGTTTTCACATGTTATTACTAAAATGTAGTCAGGAATGAGAGAGCACAGCAAAGGTCTTAAGGCAGTATACTTTATATTTATATTTACTTTATTTTTCACAGCAACAAAAGAGGATGCTTCCTGATGCAAGAAAGACACCGACCGGCTCTGGTGAGTTAACAGAGATGGAAGGACTTTGATAGAGTTAAATGGGGGAGAAAACAGCTTGAATCTGGCAAATGGTCAGAATTTTTTTTTTTGTTCAAAAATTCTTCATTAAGATGCCCTCCTCTGAGTTGTTGCTGTCCTTTCTGTGTTCAGAGAGAAGGATGAAACCGCTTCTCCCTCGAACCAACTCCTACTTGGTCCCTATCCAGCTCCCCGTCACCTCCTCCGTCTACCTGCCGTCCTCATCGGCCCCGTTTCCCCCCGCTTGCCCGCAGCAGAAACGGAACATTTCACGGGGAGCCAAGAGAGTGCGGATAGCCCCTAAGGTAAAGACTCTGTCATGCACTGCAGAACTACGGCCGAATTCCAACTGCACACTCTTGAAGTATTACATTTCATGAATACATTTTAGATATTTCATCATGTGTAGTCAAATTGGATCAGCTCTGCAGGAATAAAGTTGTTTAGGGTGGGGTAGATTTCTTATTAATGTGCAGGACACAGTCCCTGGTTGACTTAAGTGCATGCTTGAATTTCTGACAGGTGACACACAGTGATGCCCCAGCTGTGGTAGTGTATCCTCAGAGGAACAATGACCAGGAGATGAAGGTGGAGATGAAGGAGGAGCCGGTCTGTGTTCCGATTAAATGCGACACTCCTAAAGCCCTTCCAAAGAGACAAGCCAGCAGCTCCAGGCGTAAACAGCGCCTGGTTCACTCTCTGCATGAGGAGCCCGTCCTCCTCTGTCCTGATAATACTTTCTTTGACTCTGGCGTAGCCTCTGACGCCTCCACCTTCCACGACATGCAAGATAGTGAGCTGGAGGAGCACCGGCATGAGGAGCACAGCCCCGACCGGGAGTTCTCCTTCAAGACCCCCATAAAAAGTAGCAGCCACCTGGCCTCCTCCACCCCCAGCAAGGCCCCCCCTAACGTCTTACCCGAGCCCTGGAAAGTGACCCCTGTGGGAAAAGGGAGCCAAAACTTTCTGGACTTCAGCCCCATTCGCACACCGGGCGGTCCCGCTGTCACCCCCCGGCACGACTACACCACATTCAGCTTCAACAGCACTCCCTTTAAAGACTGGCCCCTCTTTAACTCCCCCAGAGAGCTGCTCACATCCGCTCCCTCCAGAGTGACCGGACCCACAGACTCTCCCATCGAACACCTCCGAAGCAGCTGCTCCAGAGAGCTGCTTCAGACGGGAAGCTCCACGCCGGCTAACCGCTCGATCACAGAGGGCCTTGTCCTGGATACCATGAATGACAGCCTGAGCAAGATACTAGTGGACATTAGCTTCTCTGGTCTGGACGATGAGGACCTAGGTATGGCTAACATCAGCTGGTCTGAGTTCATCCCACAGTTCAAGTAGCCTGAGGGCCAGAAATACATTTCCTTTTATTGACATGGCAGTGTCATATGTTTTCCAAAACACTATGGGTGGGAGCGCCCACACAGAAACGGCAAAGCAGGTGCAAATGTAGGAAAAATTACCAACTGGAAATTTGGATTTCAGATTTTGAGAAGGTCTATTGGGACTATAACAACTGGGTTAACAGGAACATTACATTGTTTCATAATGATAACTGGAGTTAATCAGCTTGGTCAGGGTGAGACGCCGAAGACACAAATACATGCAGATGACATAAGGCATCACCAAGAACATGAAGCATACATTTAGAACTATAGATATTTAGAACTATAGATATTTAGTTTTACCCAATTGGAAGTTGAGTTAATTGGCTTGAAGATTGATATTAAATTAACTTTTGCACATGGATTAAAGGTGGAATCCATAATGTTTTATAGTTTAGAATATTGTTCTTGCCATCTGGTGGAATGTAGTAGAGCACCCCCCCACCCCCCCAAAAGAATCAACCTTTTACCGTTGTAGTATTATTCATATTACCAGATTAAATTTGAAATTTACAAATTTCAGCTTTAGTGTAAAGGGCGAAACCTTCCATTCAGTTGCTGTAGTCATTCATTTGAACCTTTTTGAGTACGTGCCAAAATGCTTAGCTTCTTTTGTTTTAAGACCATTTGCTTTCTTTTGCATCTGCTTTGCTTTGTTCAGATGTTTCTGGCTGCTGTTGGAAATTAAATAAGATTTTTTTTATTTTTTTTTTTTATTTAAAGAATGACAGGGACACTTTAATTCTAATTACCAGGTCAAATTAGCAAAGCTGCTCACATGTCATTGGATGTTTCTCTCCGCCTCTGGCTTAGGTTTTTCATTGGTTGTTTCGCTCATTAACTTCCTCGGTGTCACTCTTTATTTCTGTCTGTAAAACCAGTTTTTCTTTAATCATCTATTCTGTCAAATCTGTCTGTCCCCTTGAAGGAATCGCTAGAGAAGAGAAATACTGTATGAGTGTATATGTATGTTGATTTGCACATCTTTAATATATAATTTAGCTTTTACATATGTAAATGGTAAGACATTATATTGGCCGATCAGCTGGTGAAGATGCTTCTGTGCCGTTTGGTTCAGTTCAGCTTCCTGGAGTCGACGTCTAGATTTTTAGATTGTGATGCAGGATTGTTAGCAATAAAAATAAATAAATAAATAAATGACAACGTAATACAAGTAGCACTAACAGAAATAGGATTGTTATGTTTATGATCAAACTTGTCATCGCTTGACTTTTAAGAGTCCTCACAGTATTTGTTCTTCAGTATGCCAGTATCAGCTTCAGGGCAGGGACATTTTTGCATGCCGTGGGTTTTACATCAACACATTTTACATCATCTTTGGGAACAAAATGCTTAATATTTAGTATCTATTCAACACAGATTGTATTTGTTTTCAATCACAATGCATACCGCCTTCGTTTTTTGTCATGAAGCGCAAACGGGAAAATAGGGGAAAGCAGTTTTAGCAGCACAATGGGATACACCAGAATGGGATACGTTCCCATTTTTGAAGATGCCACAAAATAATGTAAGTCTTCAGCTATATCAGCACGAGTGTGTGTATGTATATGTGAGAGTTTTAACATTGCAGTAACTTGATCTGTTTACATTTGGAGCTGATGTTAAGTAAGAGAAGAATGTTGTGGTTCCTGGCAGACGGCTCTCGCAGCATGTGCCTTGTTGGTGTTTCTATGACTGTACAATAAAACTGTTGGTGTTGGTGCCTCATACAGCATGAAGCGCTTTTATTGTCACACTTATGATCTGCCTGGATCAGCTCACATTTAATCAATGTAAATGGACAAGATGCAACCTCTACAACGTCACACAAGCTGCAGTGCAGTAACATTGAAACAGTGTATTTAGAAAAACTACACAGCACAGCTGCCTTTTATTATTTCTATTTAAATAAACACTTTATAGATTGTTTCTGGGATTCAAAAATGACTTTATTGGTTCTTACAAAAGTTTAAAAATAAGACAATCAAGAGCAGAGCTTAAGATGTTCATGAATAACGGTTGACAAAAGTTCCTCCAGCATAAGCTATTTACCTTTTGTCTAATTCATTCTCTCACTTATTCTTAATTTCCAGTTTTCTATGTAAAACTCAGAGAGAGAGAGAGAAGAGAAGTTTCCAGCATACTACACTCGTAAACAATGCCCAAGCTCTAGGACTTGTTAAGGTGGTATGAGATGTCCTCAGTACGTCTGGACTTCCTGTTGGGCCACCTCCAGAAGGATCTGCAGCTGCTTGCTGCAGTAGTCTGGAAAAGTGGAGGAGAGTCAGAATCATGCAAGAGCTGAGACGGCTTTTCATACTTGCCTTTCTTACCCCTGGTCCAACCCAAACCCTCAGCTTATAGGAGCCAAGAACCTGAGGTTAAAATGATAGCCCATTATATTCACTGCATTTTTGGATTTGGAGCACATTTTCTATGAGGTCTGTACTTTCGTCTTTACCTCGAAAATGTGAAAGAAGCACGTTTCCTTCTCGGTATTATGTACAAACTTGTCTTTGGTCTACAAGCAGCTGACGTCTCATTTTCACTAATGTAGTCGTACATTTTCTTATGGAGCGTTTAAGCAGATCCTGGTGTGACTTACCAAAGATGTGTCTCCATCTATGGGGCAAACGAAAGCGGTAGACGGTCACATAGTAAACCGGGACTCCAGTTAGTGTGAGAGCGCAGCTTCGCCCTGTGTTCCAGGGGTCTGAATACAGAGACAGACCCACGATGAAGAAACAAACCACCGTGAAGGTGACAGCGATGACCAGGGGCACCTGTCAAAAGAGCAAATAAGATGGCAGTGTTTGGTCAGGTTAGTGTACAGAGACATTTCTGCAGTCCAGTGCAATAACTACAGACACTCTAACCTTGAAAGGTCTTGGGTGGAGAGGGAAGCGATACCGATGGATGAGCATCCCCAGAGTTGCCAAGGCGATGAAGAACCAGCGAGCAAAGGAGGCAAAGTTGATGAGCTGGTAGATCTCTCCAGTGATTAACATCAACACCACCAAGGGGTACTGGAGACAGACAACACAACTACAGGAACATATCCATACTCTGCCTGCTTCTGTTGGGACTTTTATATCTAGTGATGTGGTTTAGTAAAGCTCCTCTTATTGGGAGAATACATCATTTTCTATCATGTATTTTGCTGCCACTACTTTCTGGCTGATTATAGATCTTCTGAAACACTGAGATCACAGAGGACTATACCTCATCCCAGCACACATCCTGTTAACAACACGGTAAAAATTAAAAGTAATATTTATAACAATGTGAACAGAATGGAATCAGCAGTATTATCATTACATGGTTTTAAGGGTGAAAATTCATTCTTGACCTTTGTTAAGGTAGTATGCCTTTCCAGTGTTGTTTGTCCTTTCCCTGTCCTGTCTCCTCTATAGCTCCGCCCAGGCCCACCCTGATGACTTCAAGAGATGCACCTGGCCTGGGAAGGAAGGCTTTAAAAACTGTGGTCCAAGCAGCAGAAGGGCAGAGGCTTTCAGCATGGGGACTGCTGGGTGTGCTGCCTCTCAGCCTGAGATTTTTGTTGTCTTAATTTAGTGTCCTGATCCATTTACACATTGATGTTAAATAAACCCTTTATTATTTTAGAGGAGTATTATTAGTTTGTTGGGTCACTGGTAGAGTTTCGTGCGCCCCTTAGGGCCACTTAGAGGTGGGGCATTAACACCTTGGAAACAGAACTTTGACAAAAAAATCTTAATAAGTAAAGTCCATCCAATGATGAAGACTGTGAGATGTGGCTGAAAGCTCAGAAAAAAAGCTAATAAGTGGACAATGAGTTAAGATTTTATCCAACATCAATGCTTTGCTTTGCCCTGCTCTTTTTTGGCCTGTTCATGTTGTGACATTGGCATGAAATTAGAAATGGGCAGCTCGCCTTATCATGCTGGTTTCCAGTGTGTAGAAAGTGTTTTACCAGTAACAGCACAGCAGGTAAAGGTGTGTGTCTGCGGATGTGAATCATGGAAAAGATCGGTGGCCAGTGGCCCTCCCTGGCTCCCACAAACAGCATCCTGCAACACAGTGAGCGAGGAACATTTACAATCAGCCTGTTCAACCCCTCGATGACACAATATTAATCTTTCTGCACCCAGATCACCTGGGTGATCCAAAGAAGCCTCCGTTAAGTGCTCCAAGGCAGGACAGGGCCACAAGGATTGGAATCACCGAAGCTAATCCCTGGAGAGCGCGGTTAGCAAACGTCTGCAGAGACACACACACAGGGATCAGACCTACTCTATTTCCTCCAGCTCTGCCTTTTGATTTCAGGATACTGACCACAGCCACAGCATCAGACAGCAGGAGCTCAGCAGGGGTCATCATGGTGTAGTAGGCCACGTTAACAAGCACATAAAGGAATGTCACTGCCACCATGGAGCAGATTATTGCCAGCGGGATGTTTCTGACGAGACAGGCCGCACACAGAGAGATACAGTAGTACTACATAGCAAACCTGGCTTTTAAAAATGGACTGACTGGAGAGCTGATGTCAAATGTGAAATACCTATTTGGGTTAATGACCTCTTCTGTGACAAAGTTCAGATAAAACCTGAAGGAAAAAGGAAGAGACCAGACACAGAGGCATAGAGCTGTCATTGTTGTGTGTGTTTATCAGCAAATTATCAGGTCTCAGTGAATGTTAGAATGTATATTGGTATCTTTTCTGATTGTAATTTGTTTGTTATTTATCATAGGGGAGACCCGGGATGGTTGTAACAGCATTGCCTGCTTTTTCTCGTTAAACTCTTCAAACTTAAATCATGTTTATTGTGCGTCTACGTAGATATCATTCATGCTAGTTGTTAGTGCTAATGTTTAAGCTGTTAGCTGTTAGCTTAATGGCTAGTGCAACTTGCGTATACACAGATACACATAGACACACACATAGAGACACGCACAAATTGTTAGTGGTGATAATGGTGGCTTGTCAAGAGCCCTCAGCCATCGTGTTTACAAGATGGAACAGGGCAGGGCTAGCAGGTTAGCATGCTAACTTCAGTAGAAGAAAAGAAGTGATAGAAATAGAAGCAAAACTAGAGTTAAAAGTTTCCCACTGCTGGAGACAGCTTTTGGTGAGTAAAAGAATGAAGTTTAAGGCTGAACTCACTCAGACTTAATGCTAATGTTGGCTATAGCAAAAAACTTACATATAGCACCCGTAAGTTTTCCTTATATCATAATGTTACATTTCACTCCAGGATATGTTACAGCTAAGCCA